TTGTGGTATACATGTTTGATTTTCAGCAATTTACTAATCCTCTTTTGTATGCTGTGAATGCTTGAAGCATGTTTTAGAGCTAAAGCGTTTAATTTACATTTGGTTCGTCAATGTGCACTACCTATGGAGTTGTTATGATCGTCAATAGGTATGCTTCAAACTATTACGGGGTCACCTTAGTCGATAAACGCGAACGAGACAATGAACCAGAGTCCACGTAGGCTATCCTGAATTAGTGACTCATGAAAAGTCTTGATATAGCGTAGAAAGTATATTCTACAAGCACCCAGCAAGCAAAACGCAATCAAGCACACGAATTGCGTTTATTCATACATCATAGAAACGTCCTTGAGACAGTCACAAAAATAGCACACTAAATACACAGCAGCCAATCACAGCCATGGATTTTGCTGGTGGGAAATGAAACCTCAAGGTCAAGTGATCAGCCCATGCTCGCAAGCATGAAATCCAAAATTAATGCATTTATCAAGCGAGATCTGGGGATCTAACGTCCTCAACAGGAGTATCACACCGGGACAAAACGGCCGATCTTAGCTTCTTGGCTCCCGATATCTGTTTAATTATAAATAGCTATAGAAATTTAGCTATCTACTGTGAACTATTCATGTTCAGCTGATGCGAATTTTTCTGTTGTTTATGAGATCACAAAAATCGATTTCTGTTTGTCTTTTCGAAACAAAAAATGTTTTATCTTGTGTTTTTATTTGTTTGTTTGACAGGAATTGGAGGAAAATGCGAATAATTAATGATTTAAAATTATTGGCCGATTTTAATGATGAATAATGTTTGTTTTAAATCAATTTTGTTTCAACTGATGTCTGCTTTAATCGTATGTATCCGGCAAGCTGTAAATATTGACGATATCATAGATGAGTATCCGAAACTAATTGCTCAACTTTTTATCAAATCTCGATGAATTATGTTTATGCAGAAACTATTTGGTGGAAATTATTAATAGATCAAGTTTGTTGTCTATAAATGTTATATTTTAATCGAATGTACTCCAATGAACTCCTGTATGTAAACAGTTGTTTTCAGCTTGATAAATTTTCAAACACCTTGTCCTCATTTCATTCAACATTTTGATAAGGAGTATATGTAGCGTTTTTTTTAAAATGAAAGCTTTTATTGATTAATGAATGGCATTGAATGATACTACTTTTTTTCGCCTGTCACCCACAATGGAATATCGGCCACCAACCTACTCTGACCTAGGTCTTTCTTCCTAGTTCTATCCAATTTTGTCCATTCTTCTCATATCTGTCTCCATTTCTCAGCGTAATAAGTTCCTTGGCCTTCTCCTTTTTCTTTGTCCTTGTGAGTTCCAAGTTAGGACTTGTTTTGCGACGCAGTTCGGTGCTTTCCTCCATGTGTGTCCTATCCACACTCAGCACTTCTTCCTGATTTCCTCCTCCACTGGAATCTGATTTGTTCTTTCCCACAATGGGTTGTTGCTGATGTTGTTGTCTGGTCAACAGATTCCCAGTATTTTGCGTAGACAACTGTTAATAAACACTTGAATCTTGTGGATGGTGGCTTTCATAGTTCACCAAGTTTCCACTTGGAGCCTTTCTGGGCCAACTGCTGGTCCCAAGCCCGTATAAAGGAGCAGGGTTGAGCATGGGGTTGGCGTCCCCTTCCTGTAGAAAACTAATTCGCTAGAAAACACTTAACAGAAAAAATAATTCGAAGACACTGCTAACCAATTTTTATTTCTTTATGCATCTGGTTCTCCACAAATTCTAGAATATTTTAAACAATTGACTTAATTATTGGCTCCACTATTATCGTTCAGTAGTTACTTATACGAGTAACTAAAGCAGTTATAAACATGCTTCACTGATGCACTAACAATCTTTTCGAGATCTTGATCCTGCCTTAACACTAACGATTGCCTGAAATTCACTCATCCACCTGAACCTGTATTTAGTTTCTTATTACTGCAGTTGCACAAACAAGGTTCGCGTAACTGAAGGGGAGATATATTTCATAGCATATTTCACTGTTGATAAATATCGGAATCAGATCACTGGCCACAAACTGTTCAGTTCTAATAAAGCGTCGCTTCATAGAAATATAAATCGACAACATTACCAGGAATTTTTGAACACAGAATCTTCAAGGCAGTAAAAATTTTCACAATCAAACCAATAGCATCTTGATATTTTCAATACACAACCTTTATTGATTTTCTGATTATATCTATGATTTAAAATCAGATGGAATACTACACTTCTTCAATCCGATTCACAACTTCTAATTACACCTTACACTAGAATTCACCAAAAAAATATATTTAGTTAAAACAAGACATTCATTCTCTAATCGATTGTAACTCAGATTTTATTTTACTTTTTTTTGTGTTTTGTAGAAAGCAGTCTGCGTCAATTGAACTAAAAAGTTTTTATGTGATAAATTCCCAACTGATTTGTCAAATTTAGCATAAACTCAAACTGTCCATTATGCAAACAATGGTTAATAATTGATTTTACTGATATTTTCATTTCAGGCATTTTCAGTGGTGAATGCTTAATTGCATGCACTACGGGGTTGTGAAGATTGTGAAGTTACACATTTTTGAAACTATGAATCGATCATTTAATGTGAGAGCACCATTAGAAACCTGGAAGCACATGTGTTACACAATCTTCACAACCCCGTAATGAAATTACCTGTGCTCACTAGGGACTAGCTCCGGGAGGAATCTTTCCTGAGTTTAAGTGGGAAGTCGTGACCAGTGAAGTTCAACCTGTTCGGGTGTAGAAAGTAAGTATCAAAGACAGTGTATGAAGTTGCGCAACTTAGTGAATTGATTAAGTTAAACATTAACACAGTTCGATATCGGATCAGTGATCCAGAGGCTAAGCGTTCACGCATGATACAGAAGGTCCTGGTTTGGAATGCTGCGGGGTGCAGGAGTCGTGGGTGCGCACAGCCACTGACGAGTCCAATAGCAGGACGAAACGGCCGTCTAGTGCATCCAGGTGTCTAATAGTGGTATAACATTGATCGATCAATGGTTTCAGAATTCGCAATCAAATATGACCATCATACAACTACTTTCGTACGGATGATTATTTTACTTCACAATAAACCATAGACTAATTCAGATTATTGAGATGATGTCCTGTGTAATTCACAAAGCCAAACTATTTACAAAATCAATTCGATTAGTGCATAAGTTTGATGTATTTTATCGACCAAAGTACAAGTCAATAAATCAGTTTTTCCACTGTCATTACTACAGAACGAGGCACCAGATTGGTTAATAGAACTAGTATACATTTCTAGCTAACAATTCTCACACAGAATAATATGTCATTACTGTTTTCCAATCGGAGCTTCGGTCGAATTAAGTTAATGGCAGATTTAGTGTTGAAGAAACAGATCAATAAATAACAGAGGATCGCTTGCTTTCTTACCAGTTACATTTAACTAGACATGCACCAACCAAATCACTCTTGATGGAGATGCCTTGGAGGACGCTAACACCTTTACATATCTGGGCAGCATCATCGACAACCAAGGTGGATCCAATGCAGATGAGAGGGCACGGATCGGTACAGCAAGGCCTACATTTCTACAAATGAAAAACATCTGGAACTCCAAACAACTTTCAACCAAAACCAAAATCAGGATTTTCAATACAAATGTGAAGACAGTTCTACTGTATGGAGCGGAAACATGGAGAACTACCAAAGCCATCATCCAGAAGATACAAGTATTATGAACAGTTGTCTACGCAAAATACTTCGGATTCGTTGGCCAGACACCATCAGCAACAACTTACTGTGGGAGAGAACAAAGCAGATCCCAGTGGTGGAAGTAGTCAGGAAGAAGTGGTGGAAGTGGATAGGACACACATTATGAAAAGCACCAAACTGCGTCACGAGACAAGCCCTCACATGGAACCCTCAAGGCAAAAGGAAAAGAGGAAGGCCAAGGAACACATTACGTCGAGAAATAGAGAAAGACATGAGGCGAATGAAGAAACATTGGACAGAACCGGAGAGGGAAGGCCAGGACAGAGTTGGCTGGAGAAAACTAGTGAGCGGCCTATGCTTCATCGGGGGTAACAGGCGTAAGTAATTAAGTAAGTACATTTAACTCGAACCTTTAGAGAATGCTTGTTTTTAATAGATTGAAGCCAAACGATAAGCAAAAGTACTTCTTAGATTTTTTGCAAATCGTAATATACATCATTATTTATGGAATACAATCAATAAAGTTAAAAAAAACACCATTTGTCAAGATTTCTTATATGATAGTTGATGTTACTACTACTACTACTACTACTACTACTACTACTACTACTACTCACACTACTACTATTACTACGTGTGAGTAGTTTTTAACAAGTGAGTTGGCAGATTTCTAATAATTTACAACAGGTGAGAATAAACGATTAAACAATTTTTCAAGTATAATTATATGTCATATTGCAAGGATCTCAAGGGAGTAGACTGAAATATGAATGCAGGGAATTTTTCGATTTACTTCATCAGTGTATATTTGAGCTTCAAAATGATTTTCTCAGATAAATTTTTTTCCTATGATATTAACAAGCTTTGAACAGCTGAATGATTTCGGAAAAATTATTATATTTTAGAAATTACTAAGAGTTTATAAAGAATACGAATTGGCAATGCAAGGGGTGCATTTCTATAATTAAACAAAATGTGGAACTCGAAACAACTATCAATTAATACTAAAGTTATCATTTTCAATACAAATGTCAAGACAGTAGTTCTATTGTATGGGGCGGAAACTTGGAGAACTACGAATGTCATCATTCAAAAGATACAAGTGTTGATTATAAGTTTTCTATGCAGAATACTTCAGATCCGTTTCTTGCCAGACACCATCGGCAACAACCTACTGTGGAACAGAACAAACCAGATTCCAGCGGAGGAATAAATCAGGAAGAAGCGGTGAAAAAACCCTCATCCTGATACATTGCACAGTGCACCGAAATGCGTCCAACGACAAGCCATCAATTAGAATCGACAAGACTAAAGAAAAAGCAGGAGGGCCAGGGAACATATTACGCCTAGAAACGAAGGCAGATATGAGAATAATGAACGAAAATTGAACAGAATTAGGAAGAAAGACCCAGGTCAGAGTAGGTTGGAGAACACTGGTCGGAGGCATATACTCCATCCGGGGTGATAGGCGTAAGTAAGTAAGTTATATGGAGTAGGTAGGATGGAAACCAGGACGCACATTTCATTTTATTTGGGACTCCTAAGCTGGATGTATATGCATCTCATAGTCGATGTTTACCCCAGTAGTCAAACAAACTGCTTTTCACTTTAAACGCTATTGCGTTATTCATGTAATTGCTGAGTCCATATAACTACAAAAGACTGCATAGAAGATGCAATATAAATCAATCTGAAATAGTTTGAACTATCCCGCTGTTGATATTCTGACTGAAATTCGATCAGTTTTGGTTAGTATATGAGTGGTAGTAAGTGTAAGTCCACTGGTGAACATCAATTCTGATATATCGAAGCAGTCCGAGTAAGATATCCGTCTGTCGACCGACACTGATAAATTTCGGTTAGAATATCAACTATGTGATAATCCGAACTATTTCAAAATGAATTACATTAAGTTTGGTTTTATAAGAATCGAATAGATTACATCTGTGCAACTGATTAATTTTCAAACAATAGGAAAATATTGTTCTCGTTCTGTTTTTATGGATTACGAGTAAACAGTACTGTCGATGTACATTGAACCT